CACCGGGTGGGGCAGCTATGCCACCACCGGATACGCCACAGTACAATCAATTCCACCGGGTGGGACAACTATGCCACCACCGGATACGCCACAGTACAATCAATTCCACCGGGTGGGGCAGCTATGCCATCCCAAAATTTGTCCCAGTACAACCAATTTCTCCGATCGAAGCAACTATGCCATCCCGAAATATGCCCCAATACAACTAGTTTCTCCGATCAGGGCAGCTATGCCATTCTAAAGTATGCCCCGATACAACTAATTTCTCCGATCGGGGCAGCTATGCCACCCCAAAGTGTGCCCCAATACAACTAATTTCTCCAATCAGGGCAGCTTTGCCACCCCAAAGTGTGCCCCAATAAAACTAATTTATCCGATCAGGGCAGCTATGCCACCCCAAAGTATGCCCCAATACAACTAATTTCTCCAATCAGGGCAGCTTTGCCACCCCAAAGTGTGCCCCAATAAAACTAATTTATCCGATCAGGGCAGCTATGCCACCCCAAAGTGTGCCCCAATACAACTAATTTCTCCGATCGGGGCAGCTATGCCACTCCCTACAATGGCTGCCTGATAGGTCAACGGGCCTTCAACACGTACCAACTGTCCGCAAAGTCGTACCCATATAAACACGTGAATGACGCACTATGATAATTTACCAATGTCAAATGTTATTCATCTGTTGAACATTGCTTGGGAATATAACTCCTACTACCTCCTCGAGCTAGACATCGCTGGGCTCTCGCTGCCCCTGAGAACTGCCCTGCGCAATCAGCGTCTTGTGAAAAGCCAGGGAGCTCGCAGACACAACTTTAACGCAAGGTCGCTGATATCGAAATGCATAAAGGAAACTACCGCAATGCCATCGTAACACTAAGCTTTCCATCCATCTGATGCCGTACGATAAAATCATTACATGTTCTGGAGCAAGAACCTGAATGAACTGTTTTCTTCCTAGTGGCATTAGCGGCCTCCTACTCGGCAAAGGCAGCACATGCACTTTTACAATTACCACCAGTCTGACCGAGCTCCTCATCATACATACCCATAACAAGCATCGTCCCTAAGATGCAGAGTCCTTCTAACACTGGTGATGCGTCTATCACCTGTGTTGATCACACAAACGCCCTTCTTGCCAAGGGCGCCGAACAGGCAAATAACTCTGAAGGAATGCGAATCAACCAGACATCGTTAGCCCGGCTTACTCCTGGCCGGCACAGTCAAAATCAGTCTCGTACTTAACAATCCGATACTTCTGGCCACCAATGAACAAACCATGCGATGTGGTTCCTAAAACAGACAGTATGGTCCGCTCCAGCAAGGGTCAGCAGCTACCAGTCTCCATTGCCTCTCGAAGAGTAGTTGCCTCATTGATAGTGACTTTCTCGGTTTGCTCAGTGACTTCATCAACAAGCACCTCAGCGACGAAGTCCTCAGAAAATGTCGCTGCCCAACCTTCCTCCTCAGAGCTCGCACCTGCCGGATACACCTGCATAGGCTAATCTTCCATCTGGACTACCCTGAGCAGCGAAAAGTTTATAATCAGAGGAGTTGCCCAAAGCCCCAGCATAGCACTTCCCTTCAGAGAGGAGATAATGGGAGATGTAGTCGTTCCAAGACATAGCAAACAACGGGTAACACTGCTTTTGCGATTCCCAAAAAGGAAGGATTATTGGTGAAGGCCCGGTTCGACCGACAGCAAACGCCTTAAGAGTACCGCCCATGTTATGCAGGGGGACACGGACCGATGTATCATGATTTTTTCGTGCATCTTGCAAGAAAGATACCACCGACTGCACGCGCAAACAGGAAAATAAAGTAGTCACAACGAGTGAAGCTTAATCGGCAGAGATATTCGTTTTTCTAACTGCTGCCTTGACTGCCAATAGAGTCTTCTGTCCAACACAAGCCGAGCCCTGGGCAGTAGGGGTTTCATTTGCACACGACATACCCTTCGAAGAGATGAATCTCAGTGAACTGCGAGTACTGTTAGTCAAGGCAGATGTAGACTGGGACCTCAGGTGAGATCATACTTCTTATAGATCGACGGCATTGTGAGGAACCTCACCTGAGTTCACTCTCAGGTGGACTCGAGATCAAATCATTGGCCTCTTGCGTGGCAATGGGGAGACTTCACATGCGAACTTAGAATCGGTGGACATGGCAGAGTTGGGTCCAGGCACACCGAAGCAATCAAAGCGAAAATATCGACTCGAATTGCTATGCGACTTCACTCGCTTAACTTTTCTGCATGCCAGTGTTTGCAATGATATTATTTGCACTCGCGAACAGCCTTGGGGTGATGTGAGTCTTGATGGCTCCGAGATGCTCCGAATAGATCTCGGTGCTCCCTCTGGATTCATGACCTTGCCCGTGTCTGTACTGATGGGAAAAGTATTCCCCAAGAGAAGAATGACGTACTGGGATCGATCATCTGGTTTTGTTGCTGGAACTATCGAGTTGGGGTTTTCTTGCAAACAGTACGAGGAGACTGTAACTGGCCCCGGCGCGATGGCACTACAGCTCGCAGCCGCAGTTCCCAATCAAGGTTCAATGAAACTGGAAGAGGCTGAGGAGGTCACTCAGGAAATACAATCACCATACCTCAAGGAGTTGATCATCGAAATTGCTGCTCTAGAAGATCTGAACAATCAACTGAGGTCAAAGATAGCTGTATTGATAAACGAATCTGACGTGGGGCATGAGTTAGGAAGGACCAAACAGGCGTCATGAATATGTACTTCACGATAGATCTTCATTGCAGCGTAGCGTACCCTAGTCGTGTTCGTGTTGTTAGTCTAGCGATCAATGCTTATTGAGTTGGATGCACTCTAGGAACACTCAACAATGCGCCCTGTCCCATAGTCCTGTGTGGCTAATGGGAGTGGTATTTGAAAACTATTGATGGCTATCAAACCAAACGAAGGGAATAATCCACAGCATCGGACATGATATTGATATAGTCAGTACACCTTGAAAAAGCGTAAAAAATAGAAGATTTATTCCGACTCTCCTTTTCCAGTACATCTGTTGATTAGCCATGCTACCCCTGATTGACGTTCTATCTTTCGTTTACACACCGGCGATCGGAATTTGTTCCAGGAATCCAGAGATGTGAGCTTTCGAGCTGCTGATCTCACTGCTCGTTTCGTGATTCCGATCATACTACCATCGATGTCAAAGCAAACATCGTAATCGAGGAAGAAAGGCGCGCCGAGGATCAACACACTTGAGGGTGAAACATGCCTTGGTTTATGAAGAATATCGAGGGAACACCATCGTTTCTTGCACGTTTGCACATGGTGGCTCAGATGCACCTCGAGAGTGGACATACTATCTGTTCGGATGGACAATACGGGCAACCGTTGGATGACGTCCTTGCGGAACCAGATGTGCTTGTTGGGATCGATAAACGCATCCAATTCCTTTCTAGCGAAAACGGCCCAGTTCGCCCCCGCTCCGTCGACCCGTTCCCTACCTAATTCACTCTCGATAGCTCGCCAAATAATCCCAAACACCTCTTCGGGGACGGTAGTAACATCGGTGCCGGTATCAATACTAACATAGAAGCCCCCCTTCTCTCCGGTGGTGAACTCATCACCTGGGGTGGCCTTTACTCCAACTGTTGAAGCAACGATGCCGAGCGCCTCCCTATGGAGGTTCAGAGGAAGCAGCATGGTGTCATTAGTGTCTGGTATAGGCTTGCCGAGTATCAGTTCTCCGGTTGTACTATGGAAGAGCTTCGAAGCATGGATTGAGATGGTTGAGTTGGGAATAACTCGGTTCTTCACGAGTTGCCCCAGAAAAGGCGGCGGCTGCCCGAGTGAGGGAGAGACGCCAAGCCCGAGCATTGCGTATGGCTGGATACCTGACTTAGCTCGGGTACTCCCGACCATGAGACCAACTTCCACCCCGACACTTGTGTGTTTGTCAACTCTCAGCGCTACTTTTCGATTCACAAAGTCGACCGCGTGGTTGCCGAGGTACTTGATTCTAAATATTTCTTGAGCGAGCAAGCCTTCAAGGTCACACGGGTCGGTGGGCGGGCAGAAGTAACAACCCGTAAGGAGATGTTTGCAAGAGCCAGAACCGTAGAGACTTTCATACCAACCACCATAGACCAAGTATGTCGAACCACTCCCAGTATCAACAGTAAGATCAATTGACTGACCATCGAAATTCATTTTCACCCTATCATGTTTAATGGGCAATGACAACGACTCGAGAGTGGAGACTAACTCCCACATCACAGCGAAAGAGAGAATGGCCGCTTTCAACATTCAAAGGAGTGGGAACCCTTACCAAAGCAGTGAAGTGAACAACACACAACTACAAAGGCCTGTCGAATGAGAGATATTTCCTATAGAAGTGCCTTACATAAACTACTCTCGTTACCACCCTAAATGTCGATCCTTTGCCCTCCACGGAACCGTGTTCGGTTTCCTATCATGCTGAAGTCTGCAAGGTGATATGATCACCTCCCGTATGATAGTATAGAACGATTTATCTTGACGTGTCGTGACACGTCTAGCTCGCTGTTGTTGAGAATTTTCGGCAGCGATTTTTTCGAGCGGAAAGGCGAGTTTCGATCACGACCTAAGTAAACACAATGTCCTGTTACACTGGTACTCAACTCCACTCTTCATAGATTCAGTCCATCAGTAGTCACATGTAGTGTACTGAATGAATGTTCAAGAGAATTCAAAACATTACGTCATGAAGTAGCCCTCCTCGTGGGAGCACGACTCATCTACGGTCACTATCTTAAACGTTCACTGGTGATGAAATAATCGTCATGCACAAGTCTAACGCTACACTAAACGCAGACTATACGACTCCTCTCAACTGAGGATATCTAATCTGTACTTACAGTAGACAACCTATTTAACATATATTTTCACACCGTTAACAGCATTTGAGTCAGGGAGCTCCAACCAGGAGCTCCGATTACGTAGAGAATCAATGCGAGCTGCGAAGTGCGCCAACTCGTCAGCTGACAGACGAACACTAGAAGCTGCTATAGTGACGACGTAATCACGAGTATTAGACATGTCAAAATACGTGGTCAAGTCGAGCTGATCATATCGAGCTCTCTTCGCGACAGATAGCTGGGAGGGTTGGAATCCA